TATATATATATTTTTTTTTTTGGGCATATTTTTCCACGTATGTTGTTCATATGAATCAGTAGTTTATTTTCAAAAGTTATGCATGACGTACACATATTTCATGTTTATATGTTAGACATATGCTTAGGGGTGTTCGATAGGTAGAAATCAGGCACTCATCACGGCCCATCGGTTTGGGTCGTGACAGTATGTATATACAAAAAATATTCAAAAAATATATATCTTTTCGGCTATTATTTTGACAACGATTATACATTGTCATTTTCTAAGAAAATACATATTTTAAACGTCTCTAATCATTAACAATACTTATGTGGCATTAGTTTGGCTTAGTTGAACAAAGCGACTTAATTGAGGTGTCTAATTGGGAATTCACATAATTAGAGGGTCAACATTACAGAACTGATTCAATGGGATTAAAATGGTAACGTTACCTATGGATCTAATTAAGAGATATTTTCACTTTTCTTTAGTCTATCACTTTTTTTCTCAACTTTTTTTTATTAAGTTTTACTTCTTCTAAGTTCTAACAAGTTCAAAATACTGCTAATTAATATATATGTTGTTGTAACCAATAGAGCTGACATGGAGGACACCTCACATGTCACCATGGATACGCTAACTCAGCCAGAGAGTGCAGCTGTGAAACGTAGCCAGCGCGTGAAGATTCCATCCAAAAGATTAACAGATTTTGTTGTGAAGGTTAAGGGCTGAAATACGTAAAGGCAGAGCAGACGGTTATAGCATGAGTAGAGCACAGGATAGTATAAATAAGTTGTTAAGCAATTGTAGTTGTAGGCTATTATGTTGTAGTAAGTTCTGATTCTCATCTTTCAATTCTGTAATTCTCCTTTCAACTCCTATGTATCTTCAATAGTCTTTGTATTGTTCTGTTGCTTGTAACTCCATTTGGTTGAGTTAATAGAATCAGTACTTGGAATATTTGTTGATTGCTTCATTGGTAGTTTCATCTAGAGGTCTATCATGGAAGACCAAAAAGTACTCAAGCCCTTCATTGATGATTCGCTACGGGTTTCAATTCAAGACGTGAAGGATTCATTTTCTAAGGAAATGACAGAGATGCGTGAGCTTCTAATGGCGGTCATGGCGCCCAAAACTCCAGCGGAAATTAACCGACGTGATCCAGCAACGACGATCGTTCGACAAGATCAGGGACCAGCAAACACCACACTCCAGCAGAGACCGGAATTTGGTCAGTTCTATGGTGCCAATCCAGAAGGGTGCATATTCCAGGCCAGGCGTTATTTTGATTTCTATCGGGTTGATCCCGGTGAGCAGTTAATTGTGGCATCGTTCTATCTTGATGAGGAAGCACTGGAATGGTACCGCTGGTTGTTCATGAACAAACAGTTGGCCGATTGGCCGCACTTCGTGTTGACGAAGTCACAAAAGACGATTAAATTATTAAAGATAAATCGATACTAGCAAAGTCTAAGCGTAAGACTTAAGTTCACAAGTCAAATTGTGATGGTCAAAGGAGGCTACATGTCACGACCCAAAATCTAACCATGATCGTGATGGCGCCTATCGTGTTACAAGGCAAGCCTATTTCCCCAAATATTACTACTAAATCGATTATAAAAATTTAATAAAACAATACCAACATTTGAATTTCTCATAAACTAAATCAACTCTAAATATAATATAGAAAATACGAAAACGAGCCCAAAACATCAAGGTGTCACTAAGTCATGAGCGTCTAAATCTATAAACTAAGATATATAAACTGTCTAACTGTCCAAAAGAAGAAATGACAAAAGGAGTAACAAGGTCCTGCGGACGCTAGCAGCTACCTTGCAATCTCCACAGATAGCCGGCCTGAACTCAACGATCGCCGCCTTCTAACTCACCTGGATCTGCACATAAAGTGCAGGGTATAATATGAGTACAACCGACTCAGTAGTAACAGAAATAACTAAGGAACTGAGCAGTAGTAACGAGCTAAGAGAATAATCCAATTATTATTTCCACAATTAAGTACAAACATGAGTAGACAGGTAATTTCATAAATCAGTAAGACTACAAGGAAAATTAACAGGTAAATGCAGCAACAGCAAAAGTAAATGCAACCTCACAGCAATGTCACTCCATCACTCATCATTCGCACTCAGCACTCAACGCTCAACACTCTGCGCTCACTGGGGGTGTGTACAGACTCTGGAGGGGCTCCCAAAGCCCAAGCGCTAAGCACGGACAACTCACGTGCCATCATATCAATATCTAGATCCGCACGGTCAACTCACGTACTACGCGGACAACTCACGCGCTATGGTATAAATACCTAGACCCGTACGGTCAACTCACGTGCTACGCGGATAACTCATGCGCTATGGTATTAATATCCTCACAACCAGGCCCTCGGCCTCACTCAATCATGTACCTCACTAGCCTCACCATCATCAATAAATAAGGGAACACAACTCACATCAAGTATCACAACATATTAGTAAATAATAGAGACTGAGGTAAACATGTACAATAATTTCTATGACTGAGTACAAATAATGTGAGTATGAATAAAGCTTAAGCATGATCTCTAACATGAAGGCACACAAGTTCAACAACAAGTAACTACATAAACACAGATGATGGCCATGAGGCCTCACAGGGACGGACCAAGTCTCAATCCCTCGAGGTATACACCAACACGCCCGTCACCTAGTGTGGATAGCACCTCCAAATAGTCACACGATATCAAATTATCTAGGTTTATACCCTCAAAGCCAGAGTTAAAATTGTTACTTACCTTAACAACGTAAAATCCTACTCCGGGATGCCCTCGTCTCTGGACTCGGTCTCCAAAAGCTCTGAATCTAACCAAAAATCAGAATACTACTATCAACATAGTCTAAATCGAATTTCACAATAAAAACTACATAAATATGCCAAAAATCCGAAATCGGCCAAAATCCGGCCCCCGGGACCACATCTCGAAATTAGTCAAAAATAGCATAATAATAAACCTCATCCTCTCTCGAGTCTAACTATATAAAATTCATCAAAATCGGACTCCGTTTGGTCCCTCAAATCCTCACTTAAACTCTCCAAAACTCAAACCCTAACTCCCTCAATTTCACTTTGAAATCATCAATCAAATCCCAAAAACGAAGATGGATTCATGAAATATAACCAAAATTGAGTAGAGAACACTTACCCCAATCTTTATGGTAAAAATCTCCCCTAAAATCGCCCAAATCCGAGCTCCCCAACTCAAAATATGACCAAATGAACAAACTCTCGTTTTATATATTTTTTTGTCATATATTCTGCCTCATTTCTCATGATAAACGATCCCGAAACTCACTTTTTATGCCTCCAATGGATTCGTTGTGAAATATTAGTCAAGTTAGGCTTTTGAATCACTCAATTTGACGTTATAATGAATGAGATATGTTGGTTTCAATATTTGCAAATAGTGCAGATTTTTAAATACGCCGTAAGTGGCAATTGCGTAATTAATCTGAAAAATCTAGCAACCTAATTCTTAGTAAAATGACCATAAAATCCTCATACGATGTCCAAATTCGATGATTCTTTTTGCTACAGGTCCGTAATTACGATACGAATCTAATTATTCAATCAAAAAAGAAATCGGAGCTCATTTATTCAATATGATATCATTTATGTTTGAAAAAACGGTGTCGAAACATAAGAAAAACGAGCGCAACACAACCCAAACCTATCCGAAACTCACCCGAGTCCCTCGAGACCTCAACCAATAATTCCAACAAGTCATATATCACTACCCGAACTTAGTCGAACCTTCGGAACACCCAAAACAACACCAAAACACCAAATCAACCTCTGATTCAAGCCTAAGAACTTCTAAACTTCCAACTTTCGCCAATTCAAGCCTAATTCTACCACAGACCTCTAAATTACATTTCGGACACACTCCTAAGTCTAAAATCACCCAACAAAGCTAATTGAATCATAAAAATCCAAATCCAAATTCGTTTACTCATAAGTCAACTTCCGATTGACTTTTCTAACTTAGCTTTCTAACTAAGAGACTAAGTGTCTCATTTCACTCAAAAACTACTCTGAACCCAAACCTACCAACTCGATACAACTCAACACAGCTGAACAACACATAAATAAGTAGAAATGAGAAAAATGGGGCTACAACTCTCGGAACGATCGACCGGGTTGTTACACTACAAATTACAGTACGCGGCAGGGATCCAACAATTTATTTGCCAACAAGAGTATTATTATTTTAGATCTTTCCACATGTGCCAAGCATATGAGCTATAGCTGTATACAAGTTATTTTTGTACACTTTTGTAGTTTAGCCTTTCTAAAGAGACAAATACAATAAATATATTGTACAAATTTGTAAGGAGATTTGTCATTTTGTTTTGTGTAGTTTGTATAAGTAGAATGTACAGGATTGAAATGAAATATACAGAAGAAATTTCTCTCAATTGTATCTCTGTTTTTACATGGTATCAGAAGCAAGGTTCATTTCATTCTCTCATCATCTTCAATGGATCCTAGCTTTATTATTGCAGATGATTCCCAATCCAGTGGTGCAACTCAATCTACTGCAACCATTGTGATTGATTCTTCTCACCATTACTTTCTTCACCCATCAGACTCACCAGGTATGAATCTGGTTACTTCTGTTTTTGATGGAAAAGGTTTTGGAGGTTGAAGGTGTGCTGTTTTAATAGCTTTATCAGCCAAGAACAAGCTTGGTTTCATTGATGGCACTCTCCCTATTTCAGAATCTGACTCTACTCTCATTAGGTCTTGGAGTCGATGCAATGACATGGTTCTATCTTGGCTCTTGAACTCTCTTTCCAAGGACATTGCTGAAAATGTTCTTTATTCTCAAAGTACTAAAGACCTGGGGAATGATTTACAAGACATGTATGGTCAAACTAATGGAGCCAAGTTATTTCAGTTACAAAGAGAGTTAAGTGGACTACCTCAAGGTAACTCTAATGTTGCAAGCTATTTCACTAAGATGAAGTGTTTATGGGATGAGCTTGATGCTCTTAATACTTTCTCTAACAGTGTTTGTGAATGTGTCTGTGGAGCCAAAGTAAAAAATCATAAGGCACAAAAAGATCAAAGACTCCTGTAGTTTTTAATGGGATTGAATGAATCTTACATAAGAGTCATAAGCAACATTTTTATATCTTCACCTTTGCCTTCCATTGGAGAGGCTTATTCTCTTATCATACAAGATGAAAATCAGCGTGAAATTCATCCTAATCCTGCATATCCAGGAGAGTCTGCTTCATTTATTGCTGATGGACATAATTTTGGGATAAAGAGGTTCAATTCTGGAGATTTAAAGGGACAGAAATTTAACTCTGACAGCAAAAGTAATACATCTACATGTGCTTAATGTAAGAAGTAAGGTCATAGTGTTGATAAATATCATAGGATCCATGGTTTTTATGGATATTTTAAGTTCACAAAGTCAAAACAATATCAGGCAACAATTCAGGGAAATGTTACAAATGCTAACGAAGAATCTGAAGGCAAGCTTGTTCATAATAATGAATAAAACATGGAAGGAAGATCACTTACTCACAAATCATTTGGCTCAGATTTCCCATCTCTTGCAACAATTGAAATTTGATCAACAAAGTCCTTCAACTTCAGATGTTGTTGTTAATGCCAACTGTGCTGGTATGGCCCCTTCTTATAATTGCACCTCTTGTTTCACGCATATTAACAATGATTATTGGATTTTAGACTGTGGTGCTTTTGAGCATATGACTTTTAACAAGAGTGTGTTAATAAAATTAAAGTTATTATCCTTTCCTTTGACTGTCAATCTTCTTAATTCCTATAGAGTTAAGGTAACTCATTCAGGGTCAGTTGCTTTATTTTCTAACCTGATTTTGCATAATGTTCTTTTTGTCCCTACATTCAGATTCAATTTCTTATCAGTTCACAAATTATGCAAACAATTCAGTTACTTATGTTGTTTCTCTTCTACTGATTGTGTCTTGTAGGGCCCTTCTCTAAAGAGGCCTTTGGTTCTTGATGAGGAAAAGGGAGGTCTATACATTATGCAGTCAAGACATCTACCTATCAATTTTCAAAAATCACCTAGTTCTAGTTGTATTCTAATTTCTAGAAAAAACTTGTGTAAAAGTCAAGTTGTTCTAGTTTTTTCTTCTTATTTCTCTTCTACTGATTGTATCTTGCAGGGCCCTTCTTTGAAGAGGCCTCTGGTTCTTGATGAGGAGAAGGGAGGTCTATACATCATGCAGTCAAGACATCTACCTATCAATTTTTAAAAATTACCTAGTTCTAGTTGTATTCCAATTTCTAGAAAAAAAACTTGTGTAAAAGTCAAGTTGTTCCAGTTTTTTCTTCTTGTTTTATTAGGTCTCATGTAAAATAAAGGCTATGACATTGTCGTTTAGGCCATTTTCCCTTATATAATATGAAGAATATTTCATCTATTCCAGTCAATGTCTTTAAATTCTCTTCCCCTTATGATGTTTGTCCCCCTGCGAGGCAATAAAAATTGCCTTTCCCCTCAAGTTCAATTTCTACAAAACAGATTTTTGATCTAATTCACATTGATATATGGGGACCGTAAAACACTCCTAGTTACAATAGGTTTAAGTATTTTCTAACTATAGTTGATGACTATAGTAGAGGAACTTGGACCTATTTGCTCTCAACTAAGTCTAATGTTTTTCCTATCTTAAAATCTTTCTTGGCAATGGTTGAAAGGCAATTTAACACAAAAGTTAAAATCATACGCTCAAATAATGCATTTGAACTGGGAACGAGAACTGTTCAGAAATATGTTTTACTCTTACAAGGGATCATACACCAAACTACATGTACATCAACGCCTCAACAAATGGAGTAGTCGAGCATAAGCACAAGCACTTACTGGAAACCTCTAGAGCACTCCTATATCAGTCTCACCTTCCTATTACTTATTGGGGAGAATGCATCTTAACTGCCACCTACCTAATAAATAGGTTTCCTTATAAGGTTCTTGGTTTTAAGACTCCTTATGAAGTTTTGTTTGGATTTGCACCTTCTTATTCTTAGTTGAGGTACTTTGGGTGCCTATGCTTTGCATCCACATCTACAGTTCATAGGACTAAGTTTGGACCTAGAGCTGAAACATATGTCTTTCTTGGATATCCATATGGTAAAAAGGGATTTAAGCTTCTAAGTTTATCAACTAGGAAGGTCATTATATCTAAAAATATAATTTTTCATGAAGACTATTTTCCATTTAGTTCCAATCCTTCTAACAAATTTAATGGTTCTATCTTTCCTTCTATTCCTACTTTAGCCACAAATCATCAAGCTTCTTTGTCAAGTACTTCTAATCCCACTTCAGTCACAAATTATCAATATGATGCCTCACTTGTTAGTATTGAAATCAGTCCTATATCATATTCATCTGATTTATCACACTCACCATCAAAAGATTCAGTACCACCTTTTTTGATGATACTATTCAGACTAATTCTCCACCAGTTTTGCGTAAATCTACTAGAACTCATACAACACCATCATATCTGAATGATTATATAGGTAGTGCAGTACAATTCACAGATGTATCCTCTACCTGTTTTTTGTCTCCTATTACTGCACCTTCATTTTCTTTCACTGCACGCTCTCCTTCAAATAGACATTTTCTCAATTCATTATCCTAGATTCAAGAACCAATCAGCTATTACCAAGCTTCTTTGCATCCTGATTGGCAAGAAGCAATGGAAAAAGAGATTGATACGCTTATTCTCAATGATACTTGGGAAGTGGTTAAGTTGCCTCCTGGAAGAAAGGCTTTACACTACAAATGGGTTTATAATGTTAAGCAAAATTCAGATGGAACCATCGAAAGACTGAAAGCAAGACTTGTAATTCGTGGTGAAACGCAACGTGAAGGAATTGACTTCACGAAGACTTTTTCTCCGGTTGTCAAGATGACTACCATCAGATATCTCTTAGCTATAGCAGTAAAGAAAAAATGGGGACTTTATCAGTTGGATGTGAACAATGTCCTTTTTACATGGCGACCTAAATAAAGAAGTGTACATGTATTTTCCTAACGATATGACTCCTCCTACTGCTAATCATGTTTGCAAACTCAGAAAATCACTCTATGGACTGTCTCAAGCATCTCGGCAGTGGTATGCCAAATTGACTGCAGATTTGCGTTTTAAAGGTTATATGCATTCGCTGAATGATTATTCATTGTTATTTAAGAGGAAAGATTCATCAATTTCTATCGTCGCGGAGTATGTTGACGATATTCTTCTTACTGGTAATGATGTGCGGGAATTAAATGCATTAAAGGTTTTCCTTGATCAAGAATTTATAATTAAGGACTTAGGGGACTTACATTACTTCCTGGGAATGGAGGTTTTGAGAGAACCTGATGGATTGATCCTTTGTCAACAGAAAGTCACCATGGATTTACTCCAGGAATATGAATCTCTTCAGCTCACATCTGTCTCATCACCACTAGATTCTTCTGTCAAGCTCTGAGTGGGAGAAGGTACTCCAATTGCAGATCCTACATTTTATCGTCGACTACTTAGAAAATTGAACTACCTTACCCATACAAGACCCGACCTTTATTCCACTGTCCAACACCTAAGTCAATATATGTAAGATCCCCGCAAACCTCACTTAGACTCTGCCCTGAGAGTCCTTCGTTATTTGCTCAAAGATCCTGGTTTGGGTTTATTCAGGAGTTCTTCACAATCTTTCTAACTTCTTGCATTTTGTGACTCAGATTGGGGTACATATCCTGAGTCGCGTCGCTCAATCAGTGGCTTTTATATTTATGTTGGAGGTTCCCCAATCTCATGAAAGTCGAAGAAACAAACATCTGTCTCTCTTAGTTCAGCCGAGGAAGAATACCGTTCGATGAGGCAAGTAGTTGCAGAATTGACATGGCTTGTGCGATTATTTGCAGATCTCTCTGTTCCTATCTCTCTTCCAGCTCATCTTCACTCAGATAGTCAAGCTGCGATTCATATCGCCAAAAATCCGGTCTTTCATGAAAGAACCAAGCACGTGCACTTAGATTGCCATTTTGTTCGACAACAATTCTTAGCAGGTTTGATTTCACTATCCTTTGTTCGATCTTTCTCACAAATTAAAGATCTCTTCATAAAATCTCTCTCCGGACGGGTATATCATAGTCTTCTGGGCAAGTTGGGTGTTCTCACCGCCCTTCCAACATGGGGAGGGGGGTGTTGACCAAGTCACAAAAGATGATTAAATTATTAAAGATAAACATGATCAAGCAGGTCTCAAATTGTTGGAGATAAGCTGGGAGGAAACTTATTGTTCTAGAGACGAAAAGAAAAGCAAAGGAAATTCTCTGTTAAATAGATACTAGCAAAGTCTAAGTGTAAGACTTAAGTTCACAAGTTAGATTGTGATGGTCAAAGGAGGCTACAAATTGCAATACGTGGCAGGGATCCAACAATTTATTTGCCAACAAGAGTATTATTATTATAGATCTTTCCACATGTGCCAAGCATGTGAGCTATAGTTATATACAACTTAATTTTGTACAGTTTTGTAGTTTAGCCTTTCTAAAGAGACATATACAATAAAGATACTGTACAAATCTGTTAGGAGATTTTGTCATTTTGTTTTCTATAGTTTGTATAAGTAGAATGTACGGGATTGAAATGAAATACAGAGAAGAAATTTCTCTCAATTGCATCTCAGTTTGTACACTTTGCAGCAAAGGTGAAGATTCGCTTTAAGTAGAAGGGTCTCGAGTCGGCGGAGGGAAGGTTAGCGAAACTCCGGCAGATCACCACCGTGTCGGAATTACAGAGCAGGTTCGAAGCCATCGCTAATGAAACTGATGACTTATCTGAAAGGTTGATGATGAAACTCTTTATCTCTGGGAGGGAGGATATTAAAAACTCAGTATTGAGTCACGAGCCCAAAACTATTAAAGAGGCCCTAACTCAGGCCCACATACATGAACGTCGGATCCAATTAGAGAAAGGTCCAGCCCGACCCGCGTTTGCTAACAAAGGTACTCCTCTATTACCTAACCCTAATCCTTCTCCCTCCTATACCAATTTCGCTGCCTCAGTCACACCAGCAGCTCATAATGCAAATTGACCGTCGATAAAACGGCTCACCCATGCTGAAGTTCAAAGTCGCCGTGAGCGGGGGCTTTGCTATTACTGCGAAGAAAAGTACACTACCGGACACAAGTGTAAGTCCCCTCCGCACTTATTACTCCTCACCGATGGTTCCGAGATAGAACCAACGCTATCGGAACCATAGAGGTGCAAGAGCATTCAAATATCTCTTATCATGTCTTAGCTGGGGGTAATTCCTCCTCGACGCTTCGGTTTTTAGGGCACGTAAACGGTTCTCCGGTCCAAGTTTTAGTGGACGGTGGTAGTGATCATAACTTCATCCAATCTAGGGTGACGACCCTTCTACAGTTGGCATTGGAAACCGTTCCTAGTTTTGCAGTAGTGGTGGGTAGTGGCCAATGCTTCAGATGTGAAGGGGTTATTCGGAAAGTTCCCCTCACTGTCCAGGGTTGTTTCCTTCCCCTCGACTTATATGTACTTCCATTACACGGGGCTGATGTGGTTCTAGGTGCAGCCTATCTTTCTACATTGGGGCCAGTGGTCACTGATTAAGGCGAGTGCATTTTTGAGTTCAACCACCAAGGAGTCGCAGTGAGTTGGAAGGGGCTCATACCATCTTGCGACTAGCCAGTGCAATTGCACAATTTGCATAGGTACACATACAGATGCCATCTCTTCTTACTACTGCTTGCAAATAGTGCCCTCAACATCCCTGGTGGATGAGCAAACTCAACCAGTTATGTTAGCCATGTTAGAATCCTTTGCAGATGTGTTTCAAAAACCACAAGGGCTACCCCCTACTCGTTCACAAGACCATGCCATCCATTTGGTGGCTAGAATAGAACATGTCAACGTAAAACTATACTGATATCCTTATTTCCAGAAGCAGGTGATGGAGCAACTTGTCAGTGAGATGTTAAATGAAGGGGTAATTTGAGCCAGCACCAGTTCTTTTTCTTCACCAGTGTTGTTGGTTCGTAAAAAAGATGGAACATGGCGATTTTGCGTGGATTATAGGGCCCCTTAATGTAGTCACGATACGGGATAGATTTCCCATCCCCACAATTGATGAACTGTTTGATGAGCTCCACGGAGCGCAATACTTTTCTAAGCTAGACTTGTTGTCAGGCTACCATCATATTTGAATCAGGCCTGAAGATGTGACCAAAACTGCATTTTGTACACACTAGGGGCATTACAAGTTCTTGGTAATGCCATTTGGTTTATCTAACGCCCTGTCCACTCTCCAGGCTATCATGAATGAAGTGTTTCGACCATATTTGCATCGATTTGTTCTTGTATTTTTTGACGACATCTTGGTTAATAGTCCCACATGGGAGGAGCATTTGGAGCACTTACGGCAGGTTTTAGAGTTGTTGCGGTACCATAAGGTGGTGGCTAAGCAGAGCAAGTGTCAAATTGGGCAACGGTCACTCGATTATCTGGGCCATGTGATTTCCGACCAAGAATTGAGTGTGGACCCGGCAAAAATTTCTGTCATTCAACAATGTCATGTACCTACAAACGTGAAAGAGGTACGGAGCTTCCTCGGGCTTGCAGACGCTTCATCCATCACTATGCTGCAATTGCTGGTCCTCTTACCGACCTTCTGCGCAAGGATTATTTCAGTTGGTCATCTACGGCGCAAATTGCTTTTGACACCCTCAAAAGCAAGTTGGGATCTACACCAGTGCTAGCCTTACCCGACTTTACCCAAGAATTTCAACTTGAAACTGATGAATCGGGCCAGGGAATTGGGGCTGTATTATCACAGAAGGGGCATCCAATAGCATATTTTAGCTAGAAGCTGAGTAATAGGATGCAAGGAGCCTCTACTTATCACCGAGAAATGTTTGCCATCACTCAGGCAGTCAGCAAATGGCGCCAATATTTGTTGGGGAGGATATTTACAATTTATACGGACCAACAGTCCCTCAACAATTTGACAAACCAAACTATTCAGACTCCAGAACAACATAAATGGTTAAGTAAGTTGGTGGGGTTTGATTTCCAAATCCTTTATCGACCGAGAAAATTGAACCAAGCCGCCGATGCTCTTTCTCGTACTTTAGAGGCAGTGTTCCTTACCATTAGAGTCGGGGGATATGACTTAGAGGATGAACTCAAGTCTTTGAACCCGTCGCATCCCAAATTATTGGATCTGCAGCAATCCATTCAAGATCCGAACTCAACCATTGAGGGATTCCAGTTCCTCAAAGGGCTACTATTTAAGGGTCGTTTAGTCATACCGGTTGATTCGCCCCAGCGTCAGAGGTTGCTCTATGAGTTTCATGACACAACGATTGGTGGCCATGCTGGAGTTACACGCACTTATCATAGAATCTCATCTAATTTCTTATGGAGGGGAATGAAGAAGATGTCCACTGCTATGTGTCAGCTTGCCAGGTCTGCCAACAAATGAAAAACGCTAACCATTTACCGGCGGGGTTGCTCCAGCCTTTGCCTATTCCTTCTATGGTATTCGAGGATATCGTAATGGACTTTATCACCTGTTTGCCTAGCTCAAGGGGAAAATACATTATCATAACAGTGGTGGATAAGCTTTCTAAGTACGGGCACTTTATTGCCCTTCCATCATCCTTTTCGGCACAATCTGTGGCTGAAGCTTTTGTGATAGGAGTCATTCGTCTCCATGGACCACCCAGATCGATTGTGACTGACCATGATCCACGTTTCTTGCACACCTTCTGGCAAGAATTAAACAAGCTGCAAGACACCACTTTGGCTATGAGCACCGCATATCATCCTCAAACTAACAGTCAGTTAGAAGCTTTGAATAGATGCGTTGAGCAATACCTACGATGCTTTGTAGCTGATGCACCAAATAGGTGGGTCGCAATGTTACCATGGGCAAAATATTGGTATAATACAACGTTTCAGTCGTCTGCTTGTATGACTCCCTTCAAAGTTCTGTACGGGAGGGATCCCCCTACTGTCACAAGGTATATCCTGGGCAGCAGCCCCAATGAATTGGTTGAAGCTTACTTGGTAGATCGGGATGAGATTCTACTTCTTCTCAAAGCTAATCTAGCGCGCGCTCAGAACTGGATGAAGGGGATTGCTGACAAGCGACGCAAAGAACTTAGTTTTCAGGTCGGGGACTGGGTATTTGTTAAGCTCAAGCCCTATCGACAAAACACTCTTCTCCTTCAAAATCACACCAAGTTGGGTAGACGCTACTTTGGACCCTTTAAAGTTCTTAAACGGATCGGCGAGATAGTGTACAAACTAGAACTACCAGATGAAGCGCGCATCCATCCTGTATTCCATGTTTCATTGCTCAAGCGTTGTATTTGAGAACCTACTCAACAACAGGATTCAGGGCAGCTCACTGATCTTGTTGATCCTGGTTTTGATTCATCTCCGAACCTTGAGCACAAGGTTCTTTCAGAGGCGGAAGGTATTGTTGTGACCCATAGAGCTGACGTGGAGGACACCTCACATGCCAGCATGGATACGCTGACTCAGCCAGAGAGTGCAGCTGTGAAACATAGCCAGCGCTTGAAGATTCCATCCAAAAGATTAACAGATTTTGTGTGAAGGTTAAGGGCTGAAATACGTGATGGCAGAGCAGGCGGTTATAGCATGAGTAGAGCACAAGATAATATAAATAAGTTATTAAGCAATTGTAGTTGTAGGCTATTATTTTGCAATAAGTTCTGATTCTCATCTTTCAATTCTGTAATTCTCCTCTCAACTCCTCTGTATCTTCAATATTCTTTGTATTGTTCTGTTGCTTGTAATTCAATTTGGTTGAGTTAATATAATCAGTACTTGGAGTATTTGTTGATTGCTTCATATGTTTTGTTCCGTCTCCATCTACCATTTCTCTACTCTTTACTTACTAGACTATAGATGGCTTTTGCCCGTGCATAACACGGGCCCAATAGTGTAGAATATGGAATTACTATTTGTCATTAATTTGTTTTGATATGAAATTGCATAGAAGAGAGAAATTGAGACATCATTGGAAAGTGACACAATATTCACATCCATGATAATATTAAATGTACATATATAAACATATAGTTATTTACATATCGACAAAAAGAGATGCATTTTACTTCGAAAGTGGCATAATTTTTACATGCATGAGAGTATCTATATTCACAAAAGGTGATTCTTTCTCCATACTGTAATTGTTCTTCTTCATTGTAGTGCAACAAAAGTAGTGACATCTGCAAAATCACATAAAAAAACCAAGTTTCAGTACCTATATACATAATGAATTAAGTTTTA